TTCCTTCACCTCCATTTCTGTAATTTTGCTGAAGAGGTCAGAGTTTATCACACCTGAAATTTTAAATATTCTTGTCAAATGCCAGACAGGAACCAATGACACTTGGGGAATCTAGTTATTCACGTATTGTCATTACTTGGCAAGATTTTGCTCTGATCATGAGGTTTTGATTAAAACCTTTTATACTTTCATACTAAAAACATTTTTACTTACAGCCCAAAGTTCCATCTTACCTGTTATGAAATACTTAGGAAATAAAGCATAAATAAAAGTCCTATTACAAGGAACACACTTGCAGTTAAAAGTCTACTATTACTTGACTATAGAGGCAGGCTCTCAGAGTTCAACTGGGTTTACACCTGCAACTAAAGAAATCTGGAAAAAAAAATGCCTGTGGTACAAAGTAGTAAGGATTTGAAGAATAGGCAGTGGACAGAATGAACAATAATATAAAGGGTTAAAAATGAAAGACAGTCAAATTCACAGATCTTTTCCTATCTAGTTCACAAAAAATAAGTATGGTTCAAATATTCATTTCAAAATCAATTTTGTCTGGAAAAATATTTAGAAATTACCCAAATGGCTTCTGTATGGGGAAACACTTATAACTTCCAGTAATTAACATTGGTGTTGTTGCCCTGGTGTTTTGTGTACCAGTTTCAATTAAAAATCCATTTTCCATGGATAGAAGCCCTGAAAACAATTATTTGCCATGGAAATATTGACACAATGCAAAACACAAATAGGACCAGTTCTGCCTCTAGACACAAGTGATTCATACAGCATTGAATCACTGTTCCACACAGGCAACTTGATTTCCTGGCTCTATCACTCCTCCCTTTATATTCTAAAACATTATGCTAGAATGTTGGCCATGATATTAACTTACACAACTACTTTATTAGTAAAAACTACCAAATTATCTACAGACCTACACAAATTGTTCTTCTGTGTCATGGAATTAGATAGCAATGCCATGCTTCATCTAAAGCCTCCCATTCTGTACTTTTGAAGATTAGGTCAGTATGCCATATGGTTAACCTCAAGTTCCCTCAAGGAAAACACTTCTTTATAGTCAACATATCTAAGAAGTTGTAATTACTTGGCCTTAATTCTTTGGGATTATTTCAGTTGTACTCTCTTGTGCTTATTTGTTATTTCTTATGGTTTACTGAGAGCTAGTTGTTTGCTTGATGCTGTGCAGGCATAAAGACACTGAGTAATGCACTTTTTTATTTCTAATGGGGTTTTTTTCCTTCTTTTTTTGTGCAATAGAGTATTGTCATTTTGAGGTTTCACATAACACTTCTAACTCAAATCTGAGCTTGGAATACAATTTTCCAGGATGAATACATGATATACATGCAGATATACAAAAGACATTTATTTCATGTAGAGAAATAGTTTGTACTTTCATGAGCAAAAAGTCATATAACCAACATACAAAGCATTTAAATTCCACAATCCCATGTTGTCCTGTTGTTGCAAAGAAAGATAGTTTGTAACAAAACTCCACTTCCAATTTAGAGGGTTTAGAAAATTTTGATTCACATTTTGAGACTATGATCCTTTCCTAGCCTGTTATCCAAATCCTTCCTGATTTTAAGCCAAAATTCAACAGAGTTAAATAAAGGTGAGATCTGGCCAAATAATTTTTAGTGTAAAATGAATCTTGTAAAAACATTTTGGACTAGCACAATGCTAAGTAGTGCTTTATGTAATCAAGCTAAATAGCTGTTTGTTTGCTGATATGTTGCTGCCTGTTGATCAGGGCTTTCTAGGTGCAGCAGCAAGAAGTTAGCATTTCTTCAAGCTCATGACTGGGCATCTTTCTGAAAAAGGAAAACCACAAACATGTGATGGAAAGACAACCATGCCTCGCTAAGAAATATGAAGCATGGCAGTCATAGCTGTTCTGTTCTTCCTGCTCAGCCTTGCAACAGTAGGAAAAACCTGATGGGGAGAGAAGTTGCCACGTGGTGAATATCTGTTCCGTGAAATCCTGAAATAAATGAATTATACTTTTCCTAGCAGTTAGACTATTCCTCAAGAAAAGAAAAATAAAAAAGAAATATCAGACACAGCCAAATGCGTCAGGCAGATGTGGCTGGAGAAGCTACCTGAGGTGCCAGCTGGATTTATTTTAGCATTCTTGGAGAGACTGAAGACACGAATGGCTGCTTTGAATTTAATCTATGTTATTTCCTGCCTGCTGGCATTACTTACAGGACATTTGCTGTCCACTCTGTTATGCCCTTCAAATGTTTGGTTTGAGTTTTTCCCTTCAATTTTCCTTCAATTTTATTAATTTTTAATGCACATTTTTCATTAAAAGATACAAAAATATTAAATTGTTGCCTTAATAATTTGGCTCCGATCTCTTTGTTCCTAACCAAAGACAGACAGCAATTCATGGTAAAGAGCAAAGGCAAATGTTTAAGAGAGATTTTTGGCAATAAAATAAATTTGTGAAATAGTTTCTGACTTTTTTCTGAAACAAAGCTGATTTCTAGAACTACTAGAAAGTTTCTGTGATACCATTGCCCTTGTGAAGCTTAATTGCAGCTCATATTGTAATTGTGTAATATGAGCCCTGCTAGTGACATAGTTTATTCAGAATTTTTATTTAGAAAAGCTGAACCAGTGAACTTGATTAAAATTTGTAGAGTTGACCCTAATCTTACTGGCCAAATACTGTGCTCCACCATCTAGTAGTGTAGCAGCTAAATGTTCTGAGGCCAAACTGTGCTGGAAATACCAAGGGCACAGAATTTAAAGGTTTTTATATGGACTATGTCCATCAGCTCATGAAGGTGTAAGGATTAGTGCATTTGTATGCAAGTATGTATAGATACATCTACATGCACATGTTCACATGCATTCTGGATGGGCATCTCTGTTTCTGTAGTTTCAGACACTGAGTGCTTATTAACAGATGTGTTAAGCACATATTTGGATGATGGCAAGTCTTGAACCCTGTGTGTTGTTTCATCATTTCTGTAGTTTTTTGACAAATAAAATTCTAGAGGTCTTTTTATTGTGTTTCTTTGAGGTTTTGGGCTTCTTTCTTAGTATTTATTTTACAGAGTGGTTAAAACCCCAGTCCTTTACACTTCTCTGCAGCTATGTCCATATTCCTGCATGAGTCTGCCCACAACCTGTCAGGTCCCTATCGATGTTTTCTTGACCAAAAATCATCAACAACTATCATGCGCTGTGGCTTTTGAAAATGCAGCTGTGCCAACTGACCAGCAGCTCTCTGTGAGCTTACTGCCTGGCTAGTTGCTATTTCTCGGCTGCTGGGTGAGCCTAAACAGAACAACTCAGCTCTGATGGATCAAACAAACAGCTCTGGAGCCTGAATGAGGCCTCAGGGCAATATTTTGTACAGGCTGGTTGAAAGAGCTTAATATTTTGAAAACTCCATGTCTGTAAATTTTTTTTAAACTGTCCAAGGCACTCCAGGGCACCAGTGAGAGAAAGACAGACACACAGACAGCATGACTGCCTAAGCCTTGTTTCCTCAGGAAACCAAGCTAAAAATGTGCCTAGAGATATTTTTAATGTCACAAACTATTAAGCAGTCCTCAAGATGAGGAAAAGAAATACCTACACTACATAATATTTGAAGGAAGATTTCAAATGAGTGTGCAAAATGAGAAGAGTAAAAATCCATTCAGTGTTGTATAAACTGATAATTTTGGGGTGAAAAAGAGTGTCTTTGCTTTCCACAATTTATACTTAAACAACTGCAGTAATACTAAATGCTTTTTCTTTATATATGCTGATGAAACAGTTCATGGCAATAGCATGTCTCTTGTTAAAGCAAGGTTAATTTTATTGGACCTGCTCAGAATGTTGTCCCATACAAATTCTTTGTTGCATGTTGTGGTTTTTTTCTCTTCTAGAAATATTTACAGATGCCTTCCTTTTTCACAAAAATATCTTTACAGCACTCATTGCTTATCTGATCTAATATTTTGTGAGTTTTGCTCATGACTTTCAGATCACATCCCATGTTCCTGATCAAAAAGAAGGATCATGTATCTTGAATATGGAATACAAATTAACAAGCCTGGATGAAAGAATATTCTTTTTCTTTTTATGAGATTGACTATCCAGACATACACTGTCAAGAACCTGTAATGCAAATATGGACCTGTCCTGGGTACAGAGACAGGGGAGTGGAGCTTTTAGTGCTGCCTATTCAGTATCACACATGTCACTGCTGGGGAAGAAAGATTTCCATGGAAAAAAACCCAGGCAAAGTTGGCCATTTTTGCCTGGCTCTCTGCAGGAAAAGGCACTGGGTCACCCTGTGCAGGCCTAGCCCCCCTCCATGACTGGCAGTTCCTTTTCCTTCTCCTCTGAACCACAGCCTTTGTGGATTCGTGTTGAAAGACAGCAACAGTGAGTCTTGGTGGCCAAGAAGGCCAATGGGTCCTGGCCTGTGTCAGGAATAGTGTGGCCAGCAGGAGCAGGGAGGTCATTCTGCCCCTGTACTGGCACTGGTGAGGCCTCACCTCGAGTGCTGTGTCCAGCTCTGGGCCCTCAGTTTGGGAAGGACCTTGAGACACTTGAGCATGTCCAGAGGAGGCAACGAGGCTGGTGAGGGGCTTGGAACACAAACCCTGTGAGGAATGGCTGAGGGAGCTGGGGCTGTTTAGCCTGGAGAAAAGGAGACTCGGGGTGACCTTATAACTCTCTACAACTCCCTGAAAGGTGGCTGTGGTCAGGTGGGGGTTGGTCTCTTTCTCCAGGCAGCAGCTGACAGAACCAGAGGACAGAGTCTCAAGCTGCACCAAGGGAAATATAGGTTGGCTATTAGGAGGAAGTTTTGTACAGAAACGATTATAAATGGTCTGCCTAGGGAGATGGTGGAGTCACCATCCCTGGTTGCGTTTAAAAAACCACTGGATGTGGCACTCAGTGCCATTGTTCTGTTGTTAGGGCACGTTAGGGCGTGGGTTAGACTCGACTATCTTTAAGGTCTTTTCCAGCCTAGTGATTCTGTGGATTCTGCGACATGCCACTTGAGAAAAAGAAGAGAGAGTGGTGGTGGCACAGGAGCAAGCTGTGTGGAGTCCAAGCCCCAGCAGAGCCAAGTGGAGTGGTGCCAGTGCTGGAGGCAGCTGTGCAAAGTTGAACCAATGGAGTGGATTCATCTGAGGACAGCACGTGGGCAAGACGGATGATCTAGCTTCCAGGGGGTTTGTTTGATGTAGCTCTCATCGCTTTCTTGCATTGAAGGGGTGTGAAGGGGAGTGGATGCAAATGTTATGCCACAAAAACTTGTTTTTACAGTGGTGAATACCCTTTGGTGGATAAAACACCCTCTCTCTTTTGTACACTCTTTGTTATTACAATTGCTGTGATTATTGTGATTTTCATTAAACTGTGATTCCAATTTATAATTTCTCTTAGTCCTTTATTGAAAGGAGGAGAGGGGAAAGGGAGCATCCTGAGTAGGTTTAATTTTCCAGCTCTGTTTAAAATAGTACAGCACCTGCTACCAAAGTACAACTGATAATGTCAAAAGCTGCTGAGAACAGAGAGACATATATACTGAAGATACTGGGTAGTATCTTCATAACTTTGAGAATGCAAATAGTCCCATTAATGTTAATGAAATTTTCTACAAATTTGAAGTTACAGACCTGCTAAAGAAATAGAACTGAGGCCTATTTTATCAGATTTACCCAGGAAAATATTCCTAACACAAACTGGTGACTAGATAACTCCTTCTAGAATTGACATATAAGGTTTAAAAGTTTATTCAAATCTGCTTTACCACTGGAAAATATTTTACACTCTTTCATTATATATCTGCATTTCATTAGGCACAAATTGCTTTTCTTTCTAACAGGGTCATCATTCAGATTAAGGTCCAAACAACTCTTAATCAACACATTACAAACTCAGATCCTGCCCTTTCCACAAGGTCCAGCCTTGAGTGAGTCCTGTACCAGGACCTCACAATCTTTTGAGGATCCCAAGGGCAAAAAGAAGGGTGTGAGTACTAACACAGAGTGTGAGTTTTCCCCATTGCTTGCCTGCTTGAACTGCCTTTTCATTAGGATATTTCCTGGCTCTCTTTTGTCTGAGACCAGCTTGTGCTTTTCAAAATGTAATTTGGAGCATAGCAAACTTCAGAAACTATTCTAAATGGGAAGACTCTAGTGTGACTGTCCCATTTCAGGCTATTTACCTGCAGACAGGAAAAGCTGAGATTTGTGTAGTCAACCCAGACTTTGCTACTTGGCTTTGGAGCCAGGATGTGGGCCCTGGTCTCTCTTATTTAGCAATCCAGATTGGGCCTTGGTGCCTACACCTGGGTACTTAATAGTGATGCAGCAAAAAGCAGTATTTCTTCAGAGATAGACAATTTCAAGTATTGTAGGATTTACAGGAGCGGAAAAGAGTTTGCAGAATAACCCAGTAATTCACCTGAGCCCCAAAAGTGTTTTTCCCTTTTCCACATACCCCTGTTGGACAGGTCACAACAGTGTGTTGCAGGCACTGCATCTGTAAATACAGATTAGAGGATAAAATCTGGACCTCTTATTTTGGAGCTGGTAGCTATGCCTTTGGCAGTTTCACAACTCTGCTTGGGAAAAGAGACAGGAGTTCACTCAAAGTTGCAGGGAAAACTGTATTACCTTACATGACTAGGAGAGGTGGTAGAAATGGAAATTTTGACCCATCCCAAGTTGCTTGTAAGGAAATTAATGAAATTTTTCTTTCCTTTAATACGTTACAGTTCTAACATTTGATGAGAAGACTCACTCTCACAAATTATTTCATTTTACTTCAAAATGCATTTATTTAGATATAAGTTCTGTGATATGATTTCTCATGCGCATCCATAAGGATACGTAAGAAAAGAGGTGAAAGTATTAAATTGTTTAGTTAGCTGGTCTGTTAGGATATAGAATCACTCATTTCTCTGAGACTCCACTGTGCCTTTTTTGGGTACACTTGAGCTGCATTTGAGCTTTCTCCTGTGTATTTTTTTATCTACTGCTTTATGTTAGATATCCATAGTCCTATTCCCATGTGATTTTAACATAAACATTTTCTCTGGATTACTAGGACGCTATATTCATAATGAACCATTTCAATAATTCTTTTAGATCAATTCTATACACCAAGAAAAAACCCAGGCTTTTTTTCTTTTTTTACCATAAGTGTGCCTATTTTCATACAGCTGAAATCAGTTATTTGAAAATACACCGGTGCAGAAATATACAATTCTATCAAATTCAGAAAACATTGGCCAGCAGTGCTTCCCTACCATGTCCAAATCAACTTCATTTGTACCCGCAAGTCTTGAAAAGTGTGAATAAAAGCAAATAAGAAAAAATAATAGCTATTTTTCAGACAGAAGTTATCTATAAACGTTTTACTGTGATTTTTATCTTGCATAAAGCACTGCTGGATTTTATTTTTTGCATTTGACAACATAAATAGACCACAATTCGTGTGTAAATTCTTAAGTTTAAAAGTGTTTGAAAAGTGTTTTTAAAAGGGTATGATCCACAGCATCACAAAAACAACTGGGTTGTAAAAGACCTTTGAGATCATCCAGTCCATACTATGAGCTAGCACCACTGTGTCAACCAGATCATGGCCCTGAGTGCTGCATCCACTCTTTTCTTAAACATCTCCAGGGACAGTGATTCCATCACCTCCCTGAGCAGCCCATTCCAATCTCCAGTCACTCTTCCTGTGAAGAAATTCCTGAAGTGCAGCCTAAACTTCCCCTGGCACAGAAGGCTAGTGGGGAGGCTGTGGCCTCTTGTCCTGTCACTGATTATCTGGAAGAAGAGATCAACCTCACCCAGCTATGCCCTCTTCTCAGGCAGTTCAGGAGACTGATAAAGGTCACCCCTGAGCCACCTCTTCTCCAGGTTAAACACTCCCAGCTCCCTCAGACACTCCTCATAGGACTTGTGTTCTAAGCCCTTCACCAGCCTTGTCCTTCTCTGGACATGCTCCAGCATCTCAACACCCTTCCTGAATTGGGGGGCCCAGAACTGGACACAGAACTTGAGGTGCAGTCTCACCAGTGCTGAGTACAGGGGGACAATCCCTGCCCTGCTCCTGCTGGCCACGCTATTGCTGATACAGGCCAGGATGCCACTGGCCTTCTTGGACAGCTGGGCACATTCCTGGCTCATGTTCACCTGGTGTCAGTCAGCACCCCCAAGTCCCTTTCTGCCTGGCTACTGTCCAGCACCAATGCCCGAAGCTCAGTGTTCTTATTCCCTGTTTATCTGTTATTTCAGTTTGAATAACTGAAACTAAAAAGAAATATGTAAATTTCTTGGGTACTCAGTAACTACACTTTCAGAGAATACGTTTGTAAGACCAGTCCTTTGAAGTAGCACCCTATTTAGCAAATCAATAACTCCCACACTGAATACTTCCTCGGTACTTCTCATTCAGACCTCTTTTGTAGGTAAAATGAGTATAAGTAAAAGCAGCCCTGTTTTGCAGTGGTTTTTAACTTGAGAAAATAAACAGTGTTTTATAGCTGGTCATGGGTATCTACCACTTCTTGTTTGTTTTCTTCTCTTCTTCTTGCTGTGGCTGGCATCTCTTTCTCATCCCCACCTGTTTGTTCAGTGGTGCAGCTGCAGCAGAGAGTGCATTAATAAATTGAACTGGGCCCATGCGTCTCTGGCCCAAGTGCCTGGTGTTGTTTCTGTATTGAGCTCCTGCTGAGGAGCTCAGTGCAACAGGAGCACTGAAGTTACTTGAAGGCAGGACATACTTTCTTGAACTCCCCAACCTATCTAATATTGACAGGGTTAACTGCTGCCTTACCTACCTGGAAAGGTGCATAAAATTTTATATTTCTGTTCCTTCAAAGTATTTTTTTCTGGTTTTATCTTCAGGCATTAAACCTTCTATTAAATATAATTTTGAAGCTAATTAAGTACTTTTGTTCTAATATGTACAATATCTAAAATGTATGTAGGTGTACAAGATGTATATGTACAGTATCTATTTTAGTCAAATATAGAGTCAGTAATGAATGTTTTTAAATATATGTTTAAGCCAAACTGTTTAAAATTATTTCCTTCTTCATTTAAATATCAAAATCTAAAAGGCTGTTTGGTGTTTTTTGTTCTGCTGGTTATTGCTTGATTTTTTTGTTGTTTGGTTTTGATGGCATCCCTAACATGCAAAGCAAATACAAAGAGCAAATTTGTACCGCTGCTTTGGTTGTTTGTGGTGTCTTCTGTAATAAAAGAAGATAATTGCTCTGACCTCATTTTGGCAGATTAAAAAGTTGTTTACAATGTTTTTTCTTCTTGCTTTAATTGTGCAGAGAAGACATTGCTATTAGAAACATATTTTTATTTCCATTTGTTTGTTATGACTACCAGTTCAGGGTTTGCCTAGTTATTTACAAAGTAATTTTTCCTTGACAAAGAACTATTTCTGAAGATAGTAAATTTCACCTGGTTTTTATATATATTAATTATACTGCAATTTACAGTTCCTTTCACAACAAAAGGGGAATTTTTCTCAAGTAAGTTGTGAGATACTAGCAGTAGGAACCAGGTAACAAGCAGCTGCATTTATATTTAAGATCTTTAATCCATAGAAATTATTTTATAGTAATAGTTCTTGGTAGCAGAAAAATATTATTAACAGTAATTTCTTGAGGACATTTTCTAAGAGCAATACTGAGTACTTACTGATACTCTTTGCAGAATTTCAATAATATTGGAAATTACCCAAGTCACAATGAATCTAGTTAAAAGATCTAAGAACTGTTAGTTATAAATCAGCAGTACTATATAATGTACTTTACTGAGTCAGAGATGGAAGACACAGATTTCCTTTGAAATCTCAAATCGTTAAGCATACAATGCCTTTGATAGTGAGATCTCTTTTTTCTTGACACCAACGTATTAAATTCAAGAAGGGCAGTATACAACTAATGAAGTTTTTTTCAGACTTGTTAAAAGACATTTAAAAATTACAGTTTGCGTGGGTAAATAATTTGAGATTCATTAGATGCATCATGAAAGAAACAGTGAAAATAGCTTACTGGCTTTTTTTGTCCATCCAGTTCCCGTGAAATTATCCACAAGTAAATAGAATACTAAGACAGGATTGTTTTTTTCAGCATTACATTTCAGTATCACAAAATTCTTAAATGTGCACATACACTATTATGTCCCTAAGAACGTTGTTACACACACAGTCAAGTACATGAAGAACTTGGGCTTCCAAGAGCACATACACATATGACAATATAATGGGAGACTTCTTGACAGTAAAGCCAATATATAATATAGAAA